ATTTGATTTCAAGCAAGCCGTAGAAATTTCATTCAAACATCTTTCGCACGATTTCCCTGAAATTCGGCAATTCTTTACTAGAACAAACAATTTCGCTGAAATTAAAAAGACACAGGACTATTTGGTTGTTATCAAAATTATCAATGATTTTGACTAGAAATTGTTAAATGGGGCAGTAAGTTGCTAGGAAAAATCAAACAGTTTTATTCATAATTTGTAAAAATTCTATGAAAAGTATTTCAGAGAAATTATAGAATACATTTTCAGTAGCTAATGTTATTCAATCTATCACAGATATATATGCTGGACATTGGTTGCGGGTTTGCTGGAAAGTTATGAGAATGATATTTGCTTATGATTGTATCAAATAACTTCCGTTCGTTTCTGATAAACTTTGTCCGTATCCGTATTGAAAGAAAATATATTTTTTTAATAAAGAAATCGTTTCAGTAAGAAAAATCATTCCATCGTTTCATCATAAAGATACTGAGAGCTGATTAAACGTTTAACGATATTAATTTATAATATTAATCGAATTAATGTATTTCAATATTAAATAGCAAGTCATAACAGTCTCAAAAATTGCAAATTATCCATATTTTTTATCAATTTAGATGAAGCGGATAAATTGTATAAAAATTACTGAATAAAGATTGGAAAATGCTGTAATGCGAAATTAAATTCATTGCATTTTATGATAAATTGTATAAATTATCAATGAAAGAAATAAGTATAAAAATTAAATGAAATTATAATTCCCAAAATTTTATAAACTGAAATCGAAACGAGATTGAAATGTCACATTGCATGAATTTAAATTTAAAATTTTTCATAAATAAGAAAAGATATTGGTGAAGAAGCATGTGAAAGAAAGCAATTAAAATTCAGAAAAAATTAGCTTCACACACACACACGGCTATTTCTTAACTCATTATTCTAAATTGTGAATTGAAGCAAATTAAGATGAGATGGGAATTTCATCTTTGTAAAAAATATGACTAACTTCCTTTGAGTATTGAATAAATAAATTAATTGACAGATTAAGATATTTCGTTAAACAAATGGTGATCTATCGGGCTGTAGACTTTGCTTAATACATGGCTAGAAAATTGCTGACAGTTGAAAATATTTGTACAGTATTTTTGGAACAAATACAAAGGCATATCAATGCTCTTGAAATGTTTTTTTTGAATAAAAATTGTTCTCTATTTTTGAAACTGCTCGCTATGTTAATAATTTAGAGATTACTTATATGTATAAATGAAAAATGAGTAAAGTTAACTGCAAGAGTTTGTTCACTGATTTGCAGTTTTCAGGATTGCATCCTACCATAACCACCACAATATCTAATGCTGACCTTTCTTTTCTCTTCTTGAAATCCTGAAAAATATTCAAAATTTTTCCTTATGGAGAATTATTTTTACATATAGCAGAAGAGTCAAACAAAAAATTTTTTTTAATAAAGAATTCACGTGATCATTATAGCTGGGAACAAGATTTGGGAGAGAAAAAGAGGTCAGACTTATTTGATGATGAATATTCTAGTTGAATCATAGATTATTTTGTTCGACTCATATATTCCCGGTGGTAATGACAATTTTATATGGCTGGCTGCTGAAGAGACTTCAGATTCGAACAAGATGAATACAAATTCGCAAACTTTGCAACTCTCGTCAAGTTAAAAGGAAAAATGAATTTATATGAGAAAGAAAAAAGCTGCTTCGGATGGTTTTTTTTTCCTGAGAATTCTCTTTGAAAATAATTTGATATTTATAAAGAATTCACGTGGTCATTATAGCTCGAAACAAAATTTGAGAGAAAAAGAGGTCAGAGTTATTTGATGATGATATTCTAGCTTGAAACTGCACAGTTCCAATTTGACAACATTGAAATTCATGAAAATCACTGTTAAGTCATTCACTTCTAACCAATTTTTTTTTATATTCCAACATTTAACATTTAATACTAGATCAAAAAAACAGTACTTTCAAATATCTATTTCATTTGAAATAAAAGTTGAATAGTAATTTTAAAAAATTACAAAATCAGCTTTAGAAAGATAGGCTTATTTGAAGTGCTGAGACTTACTTACATATTAAAATTAAAAAAAAAAAAACTTTTGAAATCTTCAAAGATTTCTAGAAATATATACCTGTATTTTGCCTTTTTGACTAATATAGTCCAATACAGAAATTTCGAAGATTTCTAAAATTATGTACCTTTTTTTCTTGACTCGTAGAATCAAAGAAATGTTGATCGTAAGAGTGATACAGTGTTGATGTGGGTAGCGGGACTGATCCCCTATAGCAATAAGTTACACTTTATATACATAGCTTTTGTCAGGTGGTACTTGGTGGATATTTGATGTAGTAGACAATTTTGTACTTGAACAAAGAAGTTACAGTAATTCGGGGATGAACGATGAATGGTGTAAGCACCTGATTGATGAAAGGAATTGTAACAAAGAATCGTCTAAGCATGTAATGGATAGTTAACCAACGATCATCTAACCTTTTTTATACAATTTATCACATCTTTCGTCTTTCACCGGCAGTTACAATCGATATTAAAAAAATTTATTCTTTGCTTAAACAATAAAATTAATTTCAAATCATGTTTTTCAATATCATTTTTTTTTCATATTCTTCAGCATCATTCAATCCCATTAGACTTTATTTCAATGAAAGATAATATTACTTATAGTTGATCTGTCGATTTTCTGCAGGACATTGAAGTGATTAAGATAAATGAACTATTTCAGTTATCTGTCCCAGATATTTATTGAATTTCTATAATTTTCAAAATAAACTAGGAGAATTTATCTAATCATGAAGTTCATTTCACTTTATTCCAACATGCCATACGACAGTATCAGTCGATGGTAATGTAGTAAAAAGCTATTATAAAATATTATTTGAAATGATTTATGAGATGCGATCATAAAAATGGAGCATTAAAGTTTTTAATAGCTTAAAATGAACGCAAACAATTTTCAACTTAATAATTTTGCAAATTTTAGTCAACTCAGTGAAACTTACCGTTTGCTTTTCATTCAAACCGTGAAGTGCTGGGATAATGCTATCTCTCTCAATCATTCTTACCATTGTATAATATTTCTACTATCTTTCCTAGTTCCACTATCATGCAAATACCCTTACAGGTCGTTTTTTAAGCTTCCCAAAAAAATTGAAATAGTCTCGGGATTGTCATTTTCACAATGATCTAAGTGGTTGCGTGTCATTCATTAAAGCTTTGGTCCATGTCTCGTACGTGATTTGAGTGTAATGTTTGTTGATTTTTCAGTAGTTGGGGAATATGGGAGTTGTGATGATATGATTGAGCGTAGCTATATGTCAGTAAAATGACGTTTTCGATCGTCAAACATCACATTTGTTAGATTAAAATTTTATATTTTGCAGGAATATATTTTGCCTTTGCTTAAACTTTTCTACAATATTTTTTATGCAATACTAACCGTTGGTAGCTTCTAATTTTATAAAAATTTACTACGGAAAAAGTTTGTTTGACCTTCGTATTCAAGATATATAACTCCAGTAAGCCATAATATTGCACTTGTTTAGTGCATTACCGCGGTTTACTAATTGTACCAGTTGCTTATTTGCCGACTTATCATTGATAAATTTAATGACGTTCAAAAAACTAACATTTCTTTATTATAATGAAGTGTTCTGCTAAGAGAAAGAAGTTTTAATAAAACCACAATTAATTTATGCTTTGAACAATAGTTTTTTTTATACTGCGACTAATTTACAAATTTATTCTTTGCATTCTTGGTTGAATATATGTTATCAAAAATCACTGATACGAATGGTCATTGAGGTTGAAACATTTCACTTTTTAGCGTGAACGAATGAGTATGTCCGAGGAACCAACCGAAACAAAAGCGGAACGGTTGACTCAGGCTCGGAAAAAAGTAAGTTTTAATTCTTAATTAATCACAACTCAAACAAAATTTCTTTGAGAAAATTTCGTACTCTAGAAAATTGAATGTTCAGTCATGTAAGAAATTTACTAATCAACAAGATCTGTCTTACTGTTAAGCATTATTTACGAAAAAATTATCAAGTTTTTGAGTACTTGAAAATTTCGTTGATTTCAATCAGTGGTTTGCACTTGCTAACTTACAAGAGATGATAGGAAATTTTTTAATTGTTAGGCGATCTTTAGCTAAGATTAGCAAATGTTTGCAATATTAATTCCTGTCAAGGCATATTCGTAGTTTTAATTATGCTTATGAAGTTAAAAGCAATCAAAATTTCTAGTTACGAGATTATCAGTCTAAACGTCGCAACAAAAATTCAGAATTTATTATATCTCCTTCTCCAAGTGTTTCCAGTATGATAGAAAATAATGGACGACGATCTGCCGTCAGCTTACGTAAGTTTCATTACATTATTCTTATTATATTATGCTTATTTCCTATGAAGATATTTAGAAAAAATTTTTCTTGGTTATTTTTTTTTATCAGTTACTTTTTATACTTTTCGTTAAAATTAAAGCAGTGCTTATCAGGCACGATTTTTAAAACAATAATTTTTGGAGTATAATAGCTATTATTGAAATCATTTTTTAATTCCTGAGAAACTATCACTTTGAAGAATTGTGCAATCATATTGAGATGAAAGACACCTTCCAAAGAGTTCAAACAGGATCACGGAGTTTCCCATCGATAACGACACAAAGTGCTGCAAATCATAATATTTCGGATACTAACAGCAGTGCTCCGAGCAATGATTTAAGAGATAAATTTCAACAGAATGGTGCGCCAGAATTGTGTTCTAACGTACCGGAGGATCTAGTCGACTTGAAGGTTCTATATAAGTTACTATATAAATTTTTTTAATTCATGTCTTTATCATTATCTGTTTAACGGGAGATTAGGTAATTTGCAGGAGCTTGTTTTTCATGTTCTCGGTACTTTTTATTGATTTTTATTTCACAATATATTTCGGAGTCAGTGATGTGATTATAGGATCTTCTCTTCCAATACTCCTATTTCATAGATATAAGGTACAAAATTAAATCTCCAAAAGAACTTTAAAATGAAACTATTCAAATGATATTATTATTCATTATTTATGTCCGTTCTGGTTATGTGTTATTTTTTTATAATATTAGAACATGGTCACAAATTTTCTTCCACAGTTCAGTTTTAATGAATTTTATGTTACGTGATTGATTATATATGTTTTTACACAAAAATTTTTGGCATAATTTGAGAAATGACACACTGCTTTCTACTTTCATAAGTGTTTCCTTTTATATTTTCCTATTTTGAATCAGTAGCGAAACGAATATTTTTTATTGCAGCAGGAATGCATTCGGTTGAGAGAAGAATTAGCTTTACGTACAGCTGAAAAAGGGCAATTTTCTTCACAGCTTGCAGAGTTGGTATGTCTGTAGAATTGTTCTCTTTGGCTTTATTTTTATTTGTTTTTCACTTGCTTTTTTTTTACTTTCTGTTAAATCAGGTATCAAAATTACATTCTAGTACCTAAGTAGTTTTGAAACCTATATCTTAGTCGTTTCAGAAGGCCACGTCTGATCACCTTACAGAAGCTATCTCCTCAGTGCTAGATATGATGCATTTCGATTGTTGCATGAGAATGGATTTTTTCACTCATTTTAGTTACGTATGAGTTATTTTAGGTTGGACATTATTCACAGATTCATGCTGCTTATACAAAACTCAGCGAGTGTATCAAAAATGGCGACCCAAGTGGATCCGCTTTACAAACGCAGCTTGTTCATTTGCAAACAGTTTCGTTTCTTTTTTATATGGAGAATTATGAAATTGTTTAATTACATTTAAATAATGTATTTTAGATATGAATTGCAGCTACGAGTCCTTAAAATAATAGTGCTTCAGGCAATGAGTGTTGTTGTCAAGGAGAAGACAGCTTTACAACAGCAATTAAGACAAAAAAATGAATTAGTCGTGGATCGAAACAAGCAAATTTGCAGTCTTTCGGTGTGTAATTTTCTTTTTACTTAAATTATCTGTTAACTTAAGTATCTCATTTGTTGGAAAGAAAATCTTTTTCATTTACCCGTTTTTATGGGAGTTTACTAACTTTATGAGAATACTTTTTACAGATGGAGGTTCGCGAAAAAACCTCTCATATCACATCGTTGGAGACTGAAATCATAACATTACGCAAAAAAATCGATTCGCTGAGTAATACCGTGCAAAGACAAGTGGAAGAATCAGAGAATGGTCGAAAAGAAGTAATAAACTGGCAAACTAAAATGCTTCATATGCAACAAGATCGAGACGATGCTAAGGTTTGTTTCATTGATTGATTCTATTTATGCTTGTTTGCAATCTTTGAGCCACAATATTTTTCTTTAAAGTTTTATGAAATATGACTAATCTGTTTCAAATCTCAATCATTACAAAGTCGAGGAAATATGTTTTGTAATTTGATGTTGCTGGCTTCATTTTATTTTGTTGTTTTTTAGTAATGATTGTTATGTTGATTCTTTTTAGTTTTTTGAATTTCCGGTGTCTTAAGGACATATCATACAATTTTTTGCAATTATGAGTCGTAGTACCTTAAACTTACAAAGTTTCTTGAACGGTGATCGAAAAATTGTTTAAACTCTTTTAATATTGGTAATGTAATAATAAATTGTTGAGTTTTGACTGTCATGCATATATTTTCAAAATCATTGAGAAAGTTTAGGAACGGTTAAAAATTTGTATGAAAGAAGCGGAAGCTGCTCAAGCAGAGCTCGATGAAGCTCACAAACAGTTACGAATGAAGGATATTTATCTTCGTCAGTTAGGGGCATACACGGGTGAGAATAATCGACCAGAAGATGATGCTCGGAATCTTGGTGGTAAGCTGCTTCTCAGCCCTATATGAGATTATGCGATTGATTTTTAAAAAAGCTTTTTTTTCTCTTCTACAATTATTATAAAATGATCATCTTTGCTAAGATTCATTACAATTATTTGTTCGAGAATTTTCAATATTTGTCCCATT